GTATTTTATTATATATTATACTGTATACTCTACTGTATAACCACATATTGCACTCTAAACAAAGAACTGTGTGGGTTACGCACGCACATCCACGACACACCACTGTAGGAGAAGACAATGGGATCATGTCTGTTGGATATAATTACTAGTAGAATAGTCTTTATAATGCTTTCTGCATAATTACTGAAGCCTGTACAGCACAGCAGGGGGCTGTAACATTTTTGTGCTGTGATGTACAGTAACATTATCATCAGCCACAACTGCGTTAGCTATAGCCTGTAGATGTCATGCACAAAGTGTTTTGTACAACAGAGAGAGCTGCATTGTCTGGTTGATGATAAACACAGCAAGGAGCTGGAATTTTAATTTAATGTTATTTTAATGTAGCATTTCATATGAGAAGCTGTTACATGTGTCAGGTCTGTGAAGCCTTGTTCATTGCCACTTTTTCAGTAATATAAAGTTCCATTACAGTCACTTTCTTCCATTTACTGATGTTATAGCCTACATGCCTCAAGCCATTTGTTGTAGTCTCACATTTCACATATTTGTCAGGCTCAATGTGTTTTTAAAACATGCAGTACCATCCATATGTGTATAAGCTTAAGAACCCCACTGCAGTCCACAGAAATGGGGTGTTTATATTCACTGAGGAAACATTAAATGCTTTGATAGTCAAAGATTCTTCCAAGGACTTACTGTTGTTAGATGGCAGCTGCTGCATGCATCAGTGTACAATATCAGCAGTATGCATCAGTGTAATCTCAAGTATGAATCTTCAAGTGCACGCAGAAACAACCTACAGCCCAGAGATGTTTCCTTCCCTCTGTCTGTCGCTCTTCACTGCCAGCCCCCTCCCTATTTCTCATGATAAATCATCTGCTGGAGTATAAGTGATGCTCACTTATCTTAAATACTGATATGTTAATGTAATTAGAGAGGCGTCATTTAGCAGCCAGTACAGTACAGGGTTACTTTAAAGCTGCTTCATGACCAATGGGATTCTGGAATGGAATAGCAGAGAGAGAGAAAAGGCTTCACTCTACTATTCCTGAGGCCTTTGGGAAATAGTTTCTTAACTCAACTTCGGCTCTGTGACATTGAAGGAGTTCTGAAATTTGTGTGTGGACATTAAACTCAAAATAAAGGAAACTTGTTAAGTTTCAAAAAACCCTTTAAGTTGTTTTGTCTGCCTAATTGCCTTGTCCTGTAATAACATGATAGTGAGGTTATTGTATCCTTGGCCTAGCCTCATTAACCCCACTAATAATATAATGCCTTTTTCTTCTCCTCTCCAGCCCACTTGTATAAGTGCTATGCACTAAGGGACAGCTGTGGGATGTGTTTAAAGGCAAACCCCAGATTTGAGTGTGGCTGGTGCATCCAGGAGAAGAAGTGCTCCCTGAGGCAAGAGTGTACTCCTCCAGAGAGCACTTGGATGCACGCCACCACAGGAAACAGCCGCTGTGCGCACCCCAAGATCACTAAGGTAAGCTGTGATAAAAATGACACATGCTCACACATAACACTATGCAGCTGCTCAGTATGCTCCTGAAGCTCACCCAGGTAACACATACCTGACTGCAGGTGTGTAAGTACACACACCCACCTCTTTGAGTGAGCCTGAAAGTGTTAAGTGTTTGACACGCAGCAACATACACACAGATGCAATTAGTCTTTAATAAACATATGGAACTTTTTAAAGCTATATAACCATTTTTATTCAGCATTTACAGGTTTTTTTTGTTACACAAGAATTATTTTATAATGAGCCACCAAAAATCAGGGCTTTTCCTACCATGGAAACACTTAGGCACAGCACCTAAGTGTTTTTGCGGAGCACCTAAGCCAAATGAATATAAAGGTCAGTGTATCAGAATGAAAAACAGTGAGTAAAATGCACTGAAAAATAACAGAGGTGACTTGATCTTAAAATAAAATATAATCTGCCAACAGAAATGGCCTGTCAATCAGCAGTCAGTGTTTGGACAAACTGACTGGATATTCCAAACGAAAAGATTTGAAATCTCCTGTGACTGTGCATCAGTGAGTGAAAGGGACATCGTTCGAATGAGGGCAACAGGGAGGATAGCTGACTTCGAAGCCATCACCATAGATGCAAGCACAACACAGATGGGCTGGCCAGGAGGAGGCCGTTCACACACACCAAGACTGAACTCACTGACATGATTAGAGATGATGGCTACACACACACAGTACACACCTGAAGAGACAGAGAGGGTAGTTGTCTAGACTGTGTGTGCATGAGAGAGAAAGACACAGAAACAGAGAATGTGGAAGTGTGCTAATTGTGTCTCACCATGGGCACAGAATGTGTGTGTTCCCCTGTGCGCATGTGCGCATCTGACAGGTTAGCTAAAGCGTCTAAACACCATGGCATACCCATCTGTTGCCACCAGTAACAATGTCAGTGGTCCTCGTCTGACTGTGACCTGTTTCACCGCCCCATCAGCTATCCACCGGGACTGACGCACATTTACACACACTCACAGGGCACGGTTTGAAAGCCGTGCACTGCTGTGTTAAATGTGTCCTGGTGTTCTACCCATTCACTTGTTCTCTTTGCTAATTTATTTGTCCTTCTGTATTTCCCCCTTTCCCCTTTTTTCACTCTTTCTCTCCCAAGCTTTCAAGCACAGCATTTTTCTTCCTTTATATTTAATTGTATTTTAAATAAGATGCAGCAACATCTCAGTTGAAATGGGTGCCAATTCTCTCCACTGAAATGCCTGAAATATGTGTATGGTTTGTAATAAATGCCTATTTCACAGATGCAGACTTTGTATGGCTAGAGCCCACAGTACATTCCCTCCATGACAAGAGTTCATAATTTTGAATGCATAATGGAAGTATTGGATAATTGGGGCAGTGGCACACAGATAAATCTGTTAATACGCTCTCTGTTCTTGCTCACTTCAGTTATCTTTTTAGAGCAAGCGTACAGAGGCAATTGGGTTGTGTGTGTATTTATTAGAGACACAGGGTACGGGTGGGCTGTGTATGAAGGGGCAATAGAGTGTGTGTGTGTGTGCGCGCACGCAAGCATGTGCACTTACATGCATAATAAGGGGTAAACCTGGCCTTTGGCAAGACGGTGGTGGCAGTCAAGAAGCAGGCGTAGAAGACCTTCAAGAACAGCAGGAGGAAAGCTGTACAGCAGGTTTGAGGACACAGAAGGAGACACAAAGAAGAATAGAAGAGACGTTATCACTGAGCCACACCGCCCACCTCACCTCTCCTCTCCACCTTTGACATTTACAGTGTGACATTTAATGCCAAGAGATCTTCTGCAGGCGACAAAGAAAATATCTCCCTTTTCGTCTGCCATTTTATCCTTTAGTTCTCTCAAAGAGCATCACATCCACCAGACAAATTGAATATTACTCCACTTCTTACCACCCGTTCAGTTAAATCCCTCTTTTTCCCTTTTGATCTCCCCCACCCCCTTTCTGCTTTATTTAGGCTGTTTTCTTAATTTTTGCAGCATGCTAGCTACTGTGTAGCTATTAGCTAGCCAATTAGCCCTTAATTTCATTTGGACCAGAGAACGTGTTTGAATGGGAAGGAAATGTTACTAGGAAATCAGTATGGCTGAGCGTACACACACACAGATATGTATATACTGTATATACATATACACACAGGTACCCAGAGCTTTCAGAGCAGCAAGAGTTGAGCCCATTTGGTGTCATTTCAAGTGTGCTATTGCCCATTTGAGGTTGTTCAGTAGTGTGCATTTGGGTACCGTTCCACTAGTAGCTCTGGCACCAAATGCAGAAATTGATGTCTCCGGCTCTAAATGATTGGTTCTAGACATTGTAAAAATTTAGGTGTCATGCCATTAAAGTGCCGTTTTCATCGTGCTATTCACTGACGGTGTACACAAAATTTAATTAGTACATTAACAGCAGGCAAAGATACAGTTTGTGTGTGAGTGCAAGACTACTTCAGGTCCCACACATACACACTGTGAGAAGCTTGCATTCAGATGTTAAACATGAGATAAAATAAGCTGCAACCTAACAGTTTCGTGTGTTAACCTCAAACTCACTTTCACAGCTACTCTGACAGCGACACACAAAAACACAGAAATACTGTCTGGTGCTGCCTCTCACCATACTGCAGCAGCATCCTAGCACTGGCCTTGGATGCTGCCTGGTGCTCCATCATTCATCATCTCCTGCCTGCCTTCTCCTAGGGGACAGGAACAGTATTACAGTTAGCCCTGAGAAACCAATTAAAGCAACACAGGCCATGCCAGTATGTGTGTACATGGGGGAGTGCATTTTAGTGGCTTAGCATGTGGCACACTTATGTGGTCTGTGGTGTTTTTTTTTTCCTGTGATCAGGCTTTTATGTAAAACTATTGTGTGTTTTCTGAAATTGATTCGTTTTTATGGAAAAGTGTCTGTGTGTGAGTCCAGTTTCACATTTTATGTTTTAACCAAAGCCAGTGATTTCTCTGTCATGTATTGTTAAGCCGCAGTATCAGCCTTTGCCCAACTTATTTATCTCTGTTTCCCCATCCTTTCTTCTCTTATCCTCCATTTATTGTCTGTCACTCACTCTTTTCTCCCAGCACCAACAGTTTCTCCTTGTGTCTTTCAACATGTCCATCCTTTTCACTTTATTTTTTCCTTTCCATCTTGCTTCATCTACCTTGTTCTTCTATCTTCCTTCCCTCTTCCTTACTTCCAACATTGATAGAGAAGTCTTTTTTAGGGGCTGGTATCCTCTGCTTTATTTGTAGGGATGCGTATCTTCAATCTCGATATTTTTCCACTACGTGACATGTAAATGATTAATAGTAAAGACTTCTTATCCCCCCCTTCATCACATTATTGCCACCATCGGTTTGTTTATGACTTTTTATTTATGAGAGGTTTTCATATCACAGATACAATTCGGAAACCATATGCCATGTTCATTTCATCTCTCTGTGTCCCCTGTTTCCCTCGACTCCTCCTCCTCTAACTAGCAGATGCTATCAGTGCACTGCCGCTCAGCCGTCCACAATAGGTTTCACACAAAGCCTCTGACACAACGGGACAAGTCAGAGACGACAAGAAAAAAAAGTCAGTCTGAATGGGCGCAGAGTGCTGCGACGGCAGGAGGAGAATGGATCGAGTGTTTAGGCTGGTGGCTTTTATCAAAAAGGGCTTTTTGTTTGTGTTGTTTAGTTGTGGATGTAACAACTTGTGTATGTGTGTGCATTTTGATAAACCAGTGTTTATAGGGAAAGCGATTTGATTACCATGTCTGAAGATTTTGACTGGTGCTCTACTTTGTGCCACTCACTCATTTCTCTCCAGCTAAAATGTATGCGTTCGGGCACAATGACAAAGAGGCAGTCAGTGAATTAAAAGACAAGTCTGGAGAGGAAGAGGGAAAGGGCAAGGGAAGAAGAAGGGATGTTCTTCAGAACCCTAGCTGGTGTAAGGTGGAAAACATTCCTTAATTATATCACTGTGGCATTTCAGTTCTAACCTGCATGACCGTGGGCTTTGTTCTCATTGTGTGTCTCTGTTAGTGGTGTCCTGGACACCTGTGGAGTCTGCTAGCCTGCCACCTTTTCTATAATGATCTTAGACTGGGAGATTATCAGGAGGTGCTATCACACCCCTAAGCCTGCTCCTGTCTTAGCCCCATGTTTTTTCCCTTCATGTCAGACCCAGCCCTCACCGTTGTTGTGTTTTCTCGCTCTTACTACCTGCTCGGTCCAGGCTCCGCCCACATTCTCCTGTTCCTCATCTGCTCAGTCATTTGGTTAGTATTTAAACCAACAGCCCACATTCACTTAATGCTTTGTTGCCCATGTAGATGCCCCTTGTGACTTCTCAGGGTTCATCTCGCATTCCTGTTTTATTGCTGATGAGTTTTTTCCCCATTTGGACTCTGACCTTGCCTGCTCCCTGTTTGAACTGTTGTCTCCATGTGAATGGACTCTGGTTTACCTTCTGGATCTGATTCCTATTTGTTTCAGTATTTGACTTAGTCCTCCATATCACCAACCCGCTGTAGTTGCCAGCCTTTGTTCACCATTTCCTCAATAAATCTAAGTTTTCACATCTTTACCATTGCTTCTTGTGTGTTTCTGTTTTGGCTTAATGCTAATAAATGTGACAGGTGGAGAAATAGGGTTTTTGAGCACGGCTTAAGCAAGTGGATCTAATTTGTCTGAGATAGTTGATATACTTGAAAGCGTAGTTTGACATTTTGTGCAGTAGTTTCATGTTAAATCATACCGAGTGGCATCAAATGTCTCTACCAACTCATGCAAGGAACCAAATAAAAGTATATCCCAAAATGTAAAAAAATAAAAATTCCATTCGCAGGTTTTAGCACCAGTGCACTGTGTTAACACCTGGAGGATGGTCTCACCTCTCTTACTCCAAAGGCCCAGTTCTAAAGATTATTTTCTCTGTTTATTTATTTATTTTTACTAAAATCACTCATTTCACTGGAATTGCTATCAGCAAATTTTCTTAAAGAGGCCAATTTAAAATAACATGATGCTTTGGTGTAAAGTTCAACCACGGCCAAGTTTAACAAATTAATCAAATTGTTAACCAACTGCAAATGGTCTTGTCAGTGCTGACCTTTGTAGGAACAAAGAGAACAAGTGAATACAAAATGGAGGAAGCTCATATACGGCACTGTGCCACATGGTTTGCAGTCAGTTGTTCAATGGGAGGGGATGCTTCAAAAATGTTCCCTTGAATTAACTTTTCTGGAACCGGGAACACAAGTAATCACGCAAGAATAAAGTTTGCTGTGTCACTTTTGGAGAGAACAAGGCAGCTGCTGCTAAATTCAAAACCATCTGACAACAATACTGTGTATCAAACTTCTGATGGAAAGGTTTCAAAATGTGTATGTGGTTGTTGATTCTTATCTGCACAAAGCTTAAAATTTTGTGGATGTATATTTGTACGCAGGGCTTCATACAGACTGGAATAGAAAGCATAAAAAATAATTATTAAGTTTGTCCTTTTCTAGCAAGTGAGGTCAAAGAGTGACTTTACCCACACCCAGCCACCAATGTCTCATCCCCCTTACCGTCCTTCAACCGTACGGCAACAAAAGACCCCACCTCCCACCAGGTTGTAATCCAATTAGTTTTAGCTCTAATTAGTAATGAATGATTACCAAAGGGGCCATTATCTGCGTCGGGAGCTAGATGAATGGGACAGTGATTAGCGACTAGCCTAGCCTTGGGTAGCCATTAGCACCTCTGCACACTTTTCACAAATCTCTAGGGCAAGGACAAGTCACAGAGGTCAATGTGTGCAGTAATTGTATTCAGAAGATTGATTGTCATAAGGTTAAATGAGAGATGTAAGTGTGGGCTTGATAGGTGGGTCCAGGTTAAGTGTGTAAGTTGCCAGGTTATGAATATTTGACAGAATTGAGGTGAAGTTAATGAATCCAAGGTATTTTTTTTTAATCTCATTTAATAAGGTAGCAAGTAACTGATTCATGCAGAATGGGAAATGACCTTAATGACTTAAGTAAACTATCAGATGTATTCAACTGAGGACATTTGTTGTGATGTTCTGTGGTTTACTGCTGTGGGTAAAGGTTGTCACATGCAGTATGGTCTTCTGGTTAACTTTACTTTTTCATTTGTCCTTCCAACCAGTTGTATCCAGAGACTGGGCCCAGACAGGGAGGAACCATGCTGACAATCACGGGGGAGAACCTGGGGCTGCAGTTCAAAGACATCCAGAATGGAGTCCGCATTGGCAAGGTGGCCTGCAACCCTCAGGAGGACCAGTACATCAGTGCTGAGCAGTACGTTGACACCATCTCTGTCTTCATGTGCTAATACTTATTGCTTATTCTCTGGCTTCTTGTTTCTTAGACTCTTCTTCCCTGCTTGTCTTTTTCCAGTACTGGTGTGACAGTAAGTGCAAACCAAAACACTGCAACTCTCTCCCAGATCTTTGTTTCACTAAAACATCCAAAGGACAAATGCAGAATTCTCCTTTCAAACAAAACCAACTCCTTGTCAATGGGCTCATGCTGTGTTTGGTACTGCTAGTCTCTGTACAAGTGCAGGCATGTAAATCTGACAGCAGCTGAGTTTATGTGGATTTTTTTCTTTCCCTGTAATAATCAGAGTAATAGCTCAATCAGAATTGAATTGCCCAGTTTAACCACGTTCATCAGAATTAATTTTGCCCATTCTGAAGGAAATGTAATGACATTTGAAGTGGGTGGTATATATCCTCTAAAAATTGCTTCACAGATAAAAGCTTGTCATTTGAACGCTCCCTCTGATTAAGTTGTATTTCCTTGTGTCTGGTGGTGGGAGCTAACTGCTGTTTAATAAGTGCAGTAGTATATTCTGGGTAGAGTTTTATTTAACATGTTGCTACTTTGCGAAAGTATTCTTTGGTGCTCATGTAAGTAATAACATGGGAATCATCAATTACTGTGGATTTCATTGAGAACGGGGGAAACAAAAACAGCCGCACCCAGTGTGATGCAATTGCTGCATTACCATTAGCTACCCTGTAATACTGGGGCCTTCGGTGAGACTACTAGATGAGTTACCCTCTCTATTTTATGTTGAATTCCACCAGAAGCTGAGAAGATTTAGGACGAGGAGAAAGTGGGACGCTCGTCACAGCTGGAGATGTTCTCAGTATTCTATTTCCAACTATGTAGCTGTCATTTGTACACAAATGCTCCATTTGCAGAGTTGTGCAGCACAATCCCAGCAGATTTTGTTTTCTCTCTGCCCCCTCGTGCAGAAGGAAACAGAAGAAATGTGAATTTAATGTCTTGACAGTCAGGACAACAGAGAGATGTGGAGCTCTCACGAGTGATGACAGGTGTCCCCAGAAAGGGTTCTGAAATACGATAGTCACATGTCACCCTCATATATAGTCATATCCACACAGGACATAGTGTTTTTATGTACTTCTGTAGGCGTAGAGTAGTATCAGGTAGTTCTGTGTTGGAACTTTTCCTTTACCACATGTTCTTTTGTCCTACCAATTACATCCAAATCCACCGAGGTGTCAGTGTTTAACCCTGCCATCCCTGTAACGCTGCATTGGCCTGTTGCCATAGCAGCCGCAGAAAGAGGAGGAGGAAGAGGAGGGCACGGCCGGCAGCGAAGCTGTCATGCTAATTAAAAGTGATGTTAGCCATACATTAGTGGCCCGGTTTCTCTCATCATCCTCATCACCCTGTCAGAGCTATAGCACAGGAGACAGAACTGGTTTAAGGAGAGACGGCACAGGTCAAAGGTCAGCTGCTGGAATGAAGGGGGCAGAAGGAGGCGGGCTGACTGTGGGACAAAATGTAGACACATTATTCTTACTATGGCTTTCTTTTTCTTGTTTCTAGCGCTTGTTCTTCTTACAGCCTGCACTCGTTTCCTGGTTATTTCTTTTGGTTGTCACTCACCTCCTTCATTAAATATTTACCAAATGGATTTGATTCCACATGGAGCAAAGTAAATTATTGCCACTAGTGGGGAAAAAAGAGTGCAATATCCCTCTTATTACCTTATTAGTAGTTTCTGTGTGACAGTTTGACATATGCTTAATTTTTTACTGTCACATTCCACCTCAGTTGTTTGATTGAGTGAGGTATAATTTCTAATGTCATTTTACAAATGTACCATGAACTTTTGGGCTCCCTAACCATGTAATAGCTCAGTGTAGCCACCTGTCATCTGTGCGGTAATGATGCAAGTGAAGCCACAGTTTCTAACAGAGAGTTGTTCAGCATTTTAATCACAGCTCCTGTCATAGTGGGAGACCTGGGAGTAAATGAAAGGAAAATAAACAGAATAGAAACACACAGCATTGGAATTTGAAATTCATTGTCGCTGCAGCGCTGCAGTTGCCATGGCCACCTGCAGGGAGGTCTGAAGCAGGAGAGCTTATAGCTCGCCTCGGGGTGGGGGGGTATGAAGAGATGTGTAGGATATGGGCTTGTTCAATTAATCAGTCTCTCTCACTTTAACCCGCTTGCTCTATTTCTTTCTCCTTCCTTCTCTACCTCCGTCTCTCATCTGCACTCCAGCCCTCTCTCTGTCTCATCCATTTGCTCTGGCTAATTAACAGTCCAGTATGTCTACATTGGGTGAAACATGAAGTAAGTGTGTGTGTGTGTGTGTGTGTGTGTGTGTGTGTGTGTGTGTGTGTGTGTGTGCGTGTTCTCCTTGTGGTCTACACTGCCACTCCTCCCCTCACTCAATCATTTCTCCAGTGGATTTTCATTTGGCCAGCCAGCGCCCAGGGCCAAGTGCAAGTGTTCTGGTTCAGCCACACTAAATGCAAACACACACACACACACAACTCCTCCCTTTAGCACTGCAGATTTCCACTAATAGAGCATTTGGTCTGCTTTATGTTCTTTTTATGAATAAGGCAACACAAACCATTACTTCTGAATGTCTTTCTGACCTGGACAGAGCAAAAAAGAAATGTTGCACTATTGTGTGTCCTGTACTGTTCTTCCTCCCTGTTTCCTTCATTTAGTTCTTTTTCTTCTGAAAAGCTGTTTCATTATGAAGCAATAATTGACAGAGTAAAGGTTGAATTCCATAAAATTCATATATTTTGGCAGCAGTGACAATCAAACTCTCTCCACCTTCGGATTTCCCTTTTTCAGGATCGTGTGTCGACTGAATGATGCAACAGGTTACAGGGTACAGGAGGCTCAAGTAGAGGTGTGTGTGAGAGACTGCATTCACCCTGATTACAAAGCTGTGTCCAGCAGGGCCTTCACCTTTGTGGTAAGCAAATTTGCTAATTCAAGAAACAACTAAGACCAAATTTTTATGCTGTTTTTGACATCTGTGGTCAAGTCTAGCAGCCATGTTTGACCCGTTTGCTCTCGGCTTGTGTCTCCCTCTTTAGTCTCCTTACTTTACCCGTGTCCATCCATCCACCGGCCCGCTGTCTGGAGGAACCAGGATCACCATTGAAGGCAGTCATCTCAATGCAGGCAGCGCCGTATCTGTGAAGATAGGACTTCACCCCTGCCGATTCGAGAGGTTAGTGAATCATCACCCTGCCCATACAGGTATCCGTTACTCTCTTCATCAGTCTGCCATCTTGTTTTTAAAAAATAACCTTGTTCAAATAACCTGCATTACTATAATCACTGCAGTCTTGAAAATGACAGTGTAGATTTTCTCTCGGAAGGTGATTTAATTGTTCAGTTGAATGAGGAATGACATAAGTGCATTGCCCACATTTTGTTAGAGATATGACTAAGGAATAATATGGTGGTGCTGGCAACTGTTAACTTACATTTTGCCTGCTTTGAGCTCAGGTTTGAAAAATGTCATTTTCCCTGTTTTTAGAATAATCTGCCAGCATTATCTTCTGTTGTCACTCACTCTGCAAGAGATTGTGCCAGGATTTCAAGAAGAGGAGACACAGATCCAATTTGATATGACTCTAATTCCTCGAGCCAAGAACTCTATTGTTTCTTTGAGTCCCTTTTTGGCAAACTGACAGCAAACTGAGCTCTGGACTAAATCCACCCATGTATGGTGTCTGGCAGATGGCAGAGAAAAGAAACCTCACAGAAAAGATTGTCAGTCAACTTGAACTAGGTCCTATAAGGAATTTCCAGGCAGAAGCTTTCCTAATCAAGATGACAATGGGCAAATAGGAAATACTGCTTTTGCATTTTCTATTGCACCTGAAGCTTTAGCCCAGAGTTTTTCTCATTCCTTTAGAGTAATTCTCTACAATGCTACTGTTTTTATTACAGTGGTTTCCTTCAGGCAACAAGTGACAGGTTAAACTAATGAGCTAGGACCTATCAAGTTCTTTTTATATCATATCAAAAGAAAAAGTAAAGGGCAATTTAAAGCTCTGGAGCACATCCTGAGAAAGGTGAACATAATAGTCTTGGCCTTTCATTCACTTGAGCAGCAATAACCTTTATGGCCAGAGTAATGAACTATAGTTAAGTCCATCTCTTTAATGTGTTTTTGTATTCAGTGGGGCCTCTGCTTTAATCAAAATGTATTTACCCTGAGTCACTCATCCTCTTATCTCCCTCCACAAACCCTTTTTCTTGGCTTCTCTTTGCTTTCTTTCTGTGTCCCCTCTTGGCTTTCTTTTATGTAGCTGCAACCTTGTCAAAAATACATACGCAGCACCACAGGCACTCTCAACGGTGACGTGGCTGTGAAGATGGTTGCTGTGGAAACATGGCACTGGTGGAATGTTGCAAACCTGTTTTTTTTTATATATTGTCCTTCATTTTTTTCCTTCTATCTTCATCCCCTCTTCAGTCCCCTCTCAGTATGAGCATGGTGTTGAAATAGCTTCCTGGGAGACAGCAGGGATATGTCCAGCAAAGATGCCCAGTTCCTCCTCTTTTGCTTTCTTTAACCATTTTTGCTTTCTTTCACCTTTTTTGCTCGATCTCACTGCCACACCACTGCGAGATGGCGGGATAGAGCCACCAACATAGGTTTTCACTCTTTCATCTTCTCTATCATCTCCAGTCTTTCTGTGGATTTCAATCTCACAGCAGATTAAAAAAGGGGGGGTGTACAGATCAGCTTGCTCTTTTCATGTTAAAATTTCACAGTGCGGCACCTGCCATTGTGCATGCACAATGCACATTCACCTGTTTACACATGCTCGCAGTGCCCTGTAGGACGATGACGAGTGGCGCTAAATGCATACTTACACAATGTCAATCTTCTACCTGCGCACTGTATTTATATGCAAATTCACAGACCTCCGCACAGTGCGAGCGCAGCTGCTTGGCACGCTGTGTTTACCCACATGCACAGATATGCACATACAACAAATTAATCATAGCCCCGCTGCTCCTCCAGCAGTGTCTTCCCCCCATCATGGGGGAGGGCACAGTGGAATGAACCACTGGAGTGGAGCGCAAAGTTTCTGGCAACAACACAAAGTTTCCCAGCAGGTCACAGCTGGCTGCCTGTCTGTTAGGGAAGGAGTTACATCACGCAGAGATGACCAGCCTGATCGGCCACTTCAGATCTATCAGCCAGAGAAAGCACAGGAGGGAAGAAAAGACAGATAGAGAGAGAGAGAGAGAGAGGGGTGGCTTTGATGTACAGCACTTTGATGGAACCAATGCTGGACAGACTGAAAGATGATGGCCTTGTGGATAGGCCACTCTGTCACCATTATGTGTGTGTGCCTGTTTTTTGTTGCATCTGATAAATAATTTGAGTTTTTAAGGGATGAAATAGGATTTTTTTTCCTCACAATGCACCGACTGTGTGTTTTTCCTGTGTGTATCTCAGAGCGTGTTAGAGAGTATACTCCCAAATACTAAAAAACCTTTTCAAGAGCTTCTAGTCTTGGAGCACTTTCCACAGGGGGCATCATAGAGCTTAGTATGCAGCATCTTTCTCTCCCGTCTTCACTTACTCCCTTCATCTCCTGCTCTTCCAGGCGCAGCAGCAAGGAGATAGTGTGTGTGACCCCAACAGGACAAGCCCCAGGCACCACCCCAGTCATGGTGGACATAAACTCTGCTGAGCTGAGGAACCCAGAGGTCAAATTCAACTACACAGATGATCCTACCATCCTGAAGATTGAACCCGACTGGAGTATTGCCAGGTGAGGAGACATCCAGAGCTTTTCCCTCAGCCATAGTCAGGTGCACCAACAATGAACCTTTTCCATGCAGGTGGATGTTTTTCTGTTACAAATAAGACTGACTGACTATAATGTATGTCAACCTTGAAATGGACTCTCACTGAATTATTCACTGGAAAAGTTTGAAGACCGAGCAGTATTGGCATAAATTGCTTTAGTTCCTCTACACCATACAGCTACTGTAACTCCATCAGGCATCAGTGTATCATACATCAACACAGTGTTTGATCTGCAGTTCATATACAGTACATCTGGTGTATAGAACAGATACAAATGTGTCATCTCATTATTAATCCCTGTTGGTGGTTGTGCCATGCGCAGCAAAGCCAACTAAACTGAAATATGAACTCTGTGTAAAAGGTGACAAATGTATTATTCTGCCAGCACACTCCCTGACTGGGTCTGGAAAAAAATAAAAAAGAAATCCACATTCCTCGCCTTGTTTTCAAAGGCATATTATGTATTCTGTTTATCTTTAGGTTTCAAAGTAAATCTTTGAGAGCAGGAACAGCAGTAACGGAAGCTCCTAAAGCAGTGCATCGCTAGTTGATGAGCTGAAGCAGAGATGTGTCTGTAAATATTACTTGACTTGTTGAAATGAGACTACATAGCCACAGGAAGATTTCCTGTGCAAACACAAGCTGTGTTGTGGAGGTAAAAAGGAACGCTTGGAGCTTCCAAATGCTAATGGGCTCACTAGCATGACCTAGAAACTACTCCACGGCTCAGAAATAAAGCCAGAACACAAACACATACACACGAACACTGTTGACTATCTCATTTACTTCAAAAGTGTACTTCTTGCCACAGAGTTTTTTTTACTGTATGTTTTTCCGTTGCATTTACGTAAAACTCTCAAATAAAAGCTTGCATTGAAATTAATATGCTGAAAAAGGAAAGGCTGAATAAAATAAGCAATTTACTTCTACAAGTTGTGCCATACTCCCAGCTGTGTTGCTCTTAGATTCTCGTTAAAAGAAACTGTTCTTTTCAGTCCAGCGTTGTCTGTGCTGTTTCTTTGATAGAAACTCTACACTTCCTGTAGATATTTCATATTTAAAGCCCATCAAAAAAGAGGGTAACTACTGTATGCACTCTTAATCCCTGGTGAATAAATGTCATATTTGTTGGCTTGTTATTAAGGCAGCTCTGACCTGTACACAGTTTATTTCAGGTACTTGTTTGAGAGTATCACCTTTTAGGACAACTTGTATTAGATTTTTCCACCAGAGACATTGTCTGCTCAGGCAGTATAACATTCCATCACTGAATCATCGCAGAGGTTGAGGTGAAAATGGTGGCTGCATTTAAAACTCTGCAGTGAGAGTAAAGCCTCCCATCATGCGAAAGAGGTGTGAGCGGATGAGAAGTCTCATCTGGAATGAAATGAATGAAAGCTTGAGGGCAGGCAAGGGGGAATGAGAATAAAAGTGTTGGCTCCAGCCCTGGGGGGGGAAATCACCTTGGCACTCGGCTTATGTTTGGTGTTCTACTCAACGCTCCCAGAGGAGGAGGTGTGTGGTCCTCCAGCCCAATCACGCTTTTATTTACCAAGTGGTTTTGTCACCACAACCCCTTTGGTGACCCTGTTACTGGGGCTATTTCAAACAGCACCCAGCCTCTCTTGTCCAAAACACAAATCTGACACAACCTGAGACTTGTTTGCCTTCCTTCAAGAGGATGTTCTGAGGCTAACAACACAGACGCATGGCACTGCAGATACTGCGTGACACTTCATCTTGTTTACACATTGTAGCACAGTGTACACAGTATATCACATATGTGTGGAAAATATTCTTATCATCTAATAGAACTACCCCTGTGTGATGTTCCTCCTTACTGACACAGCAGAGTTTTACACATCTTGAGCTACTGGATGTTCACTTACTGTACTTCTGCATGTCTGCAGCTCTATAATACTGTAGTATTGGCCCACAAATGGGTACCTGCGTTTAAATTTCTTAAATTGCCAGACCGCTCAGTTTTCACACCAGACCCTGTTCACAAATTTTAACATTTCTCTGCCTCTTTTAAGCCTTTCAAAAGCCATAAGCCTCCTTTTGCCTCAGTCGGCTCACTAGCAGCATACCATACATTTTCATAACACACTGTTTTTTGTTCAGTGGAGCCCGGCAGCGACTCACAGTAGCACTGGGCTTCAAGCTTTGCCTTACCCCACTCCAGTCTTTAGGTTGTATGCTAACCTATTTAGCTGCTGTCAGAACACCTCACATCAGATAAAGTTCAGCCTCTCAGGCCAGCAGAGGCTGTTGAGAAGGCGGTGTGGGGGAATAGGACTTTCACCCATATTACCTATGTCTCTGCTGGTCAGCGTCACATAGGTCTGAGTAGGTCACATGTGCAAAGGTTACAGAACATGTCAGATTACTGACAGCAGAGTGTATCTCATGCTGAAAAATATGACAGTGCAACTTTAACATACTCTGAAAGTGTTTCCCCTGGCTCCAGAGAGTTGGCAAGGCCAAAATCTCCAGCTCTCCACAGCAATGCTACGTATTCACTTATTCCTCCCTCCAGCCTCCATATCAGTTTAAACAAGCTTTTAACATTCATGCAAGGGCTTTAGCATTACTGTCATTACCTGAAAATGGGCTTCCATGAATAAGCAGGTGAAATGCTACAGCAGGAGCGAGCATTAATGGTAAATCGCCAACTGGAGGACCCTCTTGGCTCCCACAGAGAACACGTTTATTAACGTTTATCTGTACTGATAGGCCTGCTGAATCGTGAATGCACTTGCATGAAAAAAGTGCAGCAGGAGAGATGTGAATATGTGACACACAAGTGCACATATAGAAAACTGTATAATGTAGAGGTTTTATTTTCCCTGTACCATTGTGTGCTGCACATGTTTGTCTTTGTTTTTATTTACAATATGCCTTGTTATCTTTGTGTTCTTAGTGGAGGAACCATGCTGACCATTACTGGAACCAATCTGGCAACGATAAAGGAGCCTAAAATGAGAGCCAAATATGGATCTGCCAAGTCAGAAAATGTAAGTAGTTGGACTCAGACACCCACAAACTGTTTTTATTGACAAAACAAAAAAGCAGTGGCTTGACTTTGCAAGTGAGGCAGAGAGACTGATACAGATGCACAGGTGTGTCTCGCTGCTGTCTCCCTCAGCTTCTCTGTGGAAAAACTGATTTTCAGGCGATGCACACACCCTCTTGTAACACAGACACAGGCTCACACACCTGACCCGTCGGTCAACCAGCCAAGGGCCCATTTTATGTTTGTTTTTGATGTTGAATTTCCTTTTAGCAGTTTAACCTTTGAAATGTCAACCAGCAATAAAGCAGCTCTGGCAAATCCCCCCTCTCTTCACCTAGCACCACGGGGCTTAGCTAACCTCTCTCCCACTTCTGATCTTAGCTGCAAGTAAAAATATCCCTTCTTTTCCTTTGTCCCTCTCTTAGCAGTCATTTTTCTTTTTCTTTGTTACATTTCTATTTGCCAATAAACACACTTGTTCTGTCTTTATGATTTTATGCTCCCTTTGTGTGTGAGCATTTTATTGTGTGACAGAGCAGAATGTAAAGCTTTAACGTGCTCTAAAACCAAGCAGTGGTCTATATAGCTGTGCTGTTATTGTTACCAGCTACTGGCTGACCTCTCCTGTTTCTCTGGGTATCATTATAGCCTAATTTGTTCTCCGGTGACTGTGGTTTAAGTGGGATATTCAGATGATATCAACACTGATGTTATTAAGCCAGCCTCTTCTCTCTGTCATTATGGCGACATTTAATCACTCACATCACATAGCCCTGTTTTAGCCACTGTATATATACAGTGTTGATTACAGTATGTCTTAGTTTGCATGATCTTTTATGTAACCATTTTTAAAATGTACAATATTTTAGTGTTGCACAAACTGTTAACAAGGCAGAAAGGTTGTTAGACAGGAAATTAAATCACCTCAACAAGCTTGACTGTTTATGTTTTCTCCTTTTTTCTCTTCCCTTCTTTCCTTTTGATCTTTTCCTTACTCCTTTCTTCATTATTTCCACCTCATACTTCCTTGCTCCTTGTCTTCCCCTCTCTAGACCTGCACAGTTGTCAACAACACAGTGATGGTATGTCTGGCGCCCTCTGTGGCCGGATCAGATAAAGGTTTCTCTGAGGCCGGCAGCAGTCCTGATGAGATTGGCTTTGTCATGGACAATGTGCGCTCTGTGCTGGTGGTGAACGAGACTTTCAGCTACCACCCAGACCCCGTGTTCGAACCTCTGAGCCCCTCGGGCATGCTGGAGCTGAAGCCCAGCTCACCTCTCATACTCAAGGTAAATTGATCTGTTTTTGGCCTGTCCCTGGGTTTGCTATCCATCCATCCATCCATCCATCCATTAGTTAAACTGCTTATCCTGTAGAGGGTTGTGGGGCGGCTGGAGCCAATCCCAGCTGACACTGGGTGAGAGGCAGGATTCAGTACACCTGTCGGTTTGTTTTTCCCTTGGTGTTGCCTTTCATTTTCTTTCCTTCTTATGCATTTTCCCTTATCATGTCTCCTCTATGTCTTTCCAATCATTTCTTTATTTTCTATTGTGGGGAAGAAGGGCTTACTATACCTAAGTGAATGTGTCAAGATAGTTTGATTTTGCAACAAAGCAGGGTTACTCTCTAAGGGTCTTGAAGAAATGTCTTAAACACCCTGGGACTCCAGGACAAAAGAAGGTTAGCTGAGTGTTAGCACTCAGTTGACCTACAAGATGAGGAGCAGTAGCAGATACAATAGCAGCGTGCCAGTAATGTTGAGTATTTTCAATAGTGTTTAAAGCTCAGTCTCACACAGTTTTGGACAAAGCTGCAGTGACCTGCCAGTCAACATCCAACACAGGTGATAAGACGCTGACAGCCACTTGAAATCATTTGGTCAGACACGTTCTAGACTAGAGACTTGGCTCCCTTTGTCCTCTTTTTCTTTCATCACAGCCTTCCTTCAGATGTACCTCAAACTTGAAAGGTGTCATTTCTCCGCCTGCAGCCATCAGTGGGTTTGGAGACTTTTAAGAAACAAAAGTTTCCCCTTTAAAATCAGGTGCAAAAGAAAGTAATATTTATAAAGTGCACCCATGCGCTGCTGTGCCACCAGCTCAGATTTCTGTCACATAACTTCTGAAAAGAGACAGCCGTGTTTAGTCTAAGCCACTGATTCTCAAAGCAGGCTTCCCGGATCCCCATGTGTAGCACATGACCTCTGATTGTGAATCATAACCTCTGCAAACAGAGCACTTGAATATTAATTAGAAATATTAACAATTCATTCTTTGACCTTGGTTGTGTAATATCATGATTGAATAGAATGAACCCCCCCCCAAATAATATTTGATATTATGATGGTTTTTTGGTATCTGGGCTCCTTGGGGCAGTATTCAGTCAGTGATATGTAATGTAGGCTGTTCCTTGCCTTTCAGGAGCGAGAGGAAAATTATTACACAATCGCATTGGAAAACGGATGCTTTTCTTTTCTCGGCATGTTAGAAATGAAGACTGTTCTCTCCCTTGTATCTTGATATTCAGTTCCGTAATGAAAAGCTCTGATAGCCCCGCCCTGCTCAGAGTGAAGAATTGCAGAAATAAGCAGCACAGAAACAGCATCCTATTAAGTAACTGCATAGAAATTAGATGTTCATTGAGAATTTCCCGCAATTAATTCTAGCCAGTCTGAGAAGCATAGTATCAAATCAAGATGGGGAGGGGTCAGTAGAGGTAGTAAGTGGGGATTTCTGCTGCATTTATGTACTGTACTTCCCAAAACACTTACACAACCAACATATCTTTACAGTCTTTGCACAGTATTTTTATTTGTGCCAGCCCAGCCACCAGATCTGGATCAAATACTAATCATTTATCACCGATTACTAATTTTGAGTAAAGGTGATATTTTTAAATTAAGAACAAAATCTTAGACTTGGTAATTAGTTTGTGCACAGGATTTGGATTTCTGCACCACAACGCCTCTGCATGTATTATCCCAAGTTTTCTGTTATTAAAATCACAGTTTATATTTTTGTTTGTAGACCTTGTAGTACTTTGCACACTGATTTTGAACTGCTGACGAACACCTGCCAGCTAGTCAGAAACAAGTCTGGATAGTCAGAGCGAGTCCATTTACAGTGATTCAATATGATTATATTTTCATTTGTGTAGATCACAGATGTAAACTTTCTGTAAATAACCAAAGCATGCATGTCTGTTTCAAGGGTCGTAACCTAATTCCTGCAGCACCAGGAAACGCCAAGCTGAATTACACAGTGCTGATTGGGGAGACTCCCTGCGTTCTCACCCTGTCTGAGAGCCAGCTGCTGTGTGAGTGGCCTAATCTGACCGGAGAACACAAAGTCACTGTAAGTAAATGAAGGTTTTCCCACTGTGTGTGTGTGTGTAATGTCTTTCTTCTTTACACTAACATGACTGTCACACACTAAGCACAAATATTGTAACAACCATAGAAAATTCATCCTTGTCTAGGTTATATATTTTTCTGTTAGAAGTACATTTTTATTCATCACTGATGATGCAGTCAACATGGCACTGCATGGCATCCTTCAACACCTCGACTCCCCAGGGACCTATGCACGGGTCCTCTTTGTGGACTTCGACTCAGCATTCACCGCCATCGTTCCAGACATCTTCCACTCCAAACTCGCCCAGATCACTGTGCTTGCCCACACCTGTCAGTGGATCACCAGCTTTCTGACAGAGAGGAAGCAGCAGGTGAGGCTGGGTAAAACCACATCCAGCACCCGATCAATCAGCACAGGCGCCCCCCCAGGGATGTGTTCTCTCCCCACTGCTGTTATCCCTCTACACAAACAACTGAACCACAGTGAGAAGACCCCTTTGTTAAACTTCTGAAGTTTGCAGATGACACAACGGTCATTGCTTTCATCTGTGACAGGGACGATTCAGCCTACAGACAGGAAGCTGAACAGCTGGCCCTGTGGTGCTATCTCAACAACCTGGAGCTGGACATGCTCAAAACAGTGAAGATGACAGTGGACTTCAGGAGGAGCACCACCACCACCGGCTGTGGCTTAGGATGTAGAGCAGGTTGTTTCCTAAACGGAGGATTAGAGGTTCAATTCCCAGCTTGTCCAGTCAACATGTCGAAGTATCCCTGAGCAAGGCACTGAACCCCCAGTTGCTCACCGTGATAAATGTGAATGTGTGAGCATTTGTGAGTGCAAATGGGTGAATGGCCAAGTAGTGTGAAAGCGCTTTGAGTGTGCTGTAAAGCGTAAAAAAGCGCTTATACAAGTATAAGACCATTTACCATACTCGGCAGCCCTGCATCATCAGTCAAGTCCAGTAAAGCTCCACTATCTCCCAGGAGACCTGAAGTGGATGTTCAGCATCAGCACCATCACTAAGAAGGCACAGTAGAGGATGTACCTGCCCCAGGAGCTGTTGATACAGTTCTACAGAGGAATCATCTGTTCTCTGCTCATCCATCACTGTCTAGTTTGTTTCAGCAACCAAACAGGACAGGAACAGACTCCAACAGGCAGTAAGGAAAGAGTCATTGGTGCCAGCCTGCCCTCCGTGGACGACCTGTACACCTCACGGGTCAAAAGGAGGGCAGAGAAGATTTCTGCAGACCCCTCACATCCTGGACACGACCGGTTTGAACTCCTTCCCTCTGGACGGCGCTACAGGTCACTGTACGCCAAACCAAACACAAGGACAGTTTCTTCCCCTGATTAACAGTTAACTATGACTGAAGCAACAGGACTCGGCAACCACTGCAGTGCAGTAATTGTAAATAGTACTTGTAAATAGTAATTGTAAATTTCCAGCTTGACGTCTTGAAATGTGTATATATCTATATAATATTTATAAAAACTGCCTCTCCTCCATCTCCCGTGCTTCCCCTCCCTTTTATTGTGCAATTCTATTGTCTGTTGCCTAAAACACATTGTGCCGGAGATGAATTCCTTGTATGCTCAACATACTTGGCAATTAAACCTGATTCTGGTCATCCCTATTGTTTTTTTTTTTTGTTGTTGTTTGTTTTTATTAGTTTTTTTGGTTCCACCTCTGGAGCGTCTGGCTTTAACATCTCCTTCTATTGCTCCTGTTCTCTTTTTTGTTTCCATTGTGCTGTTCATCACTCTTCTTTATGTCACTCCACTTCCTGCCTTTTAATTCATTCATTTTATTCTTTCTTTCCCAGCCATCAAACCTAACACTCTTCAATTACTCTAGATTTCTCTTTGCCCATTTATATAGCTTCACAAACACGCACATCCTGTCTCTTTGTGCAGTCAGCTGTATTTGCAACTGTATTTATGTCTTAGAGGCTTTTGATCGTTCTCGTTTGGCTGGGATTTGAATAGTACTGATATTCAATAGAGATAAAAAAATAGCTAGTGGGTGTGAGAGGTCTGCATCTATTTTTACCCTCCTCCATTTGGTATTTGATAGATGTAAGTCAGTTGAAGATGGAATAAAAGGAAAAAGAAGAGAGGAAAAACATAGCTGCATGTTTTTTTTATTCCCGTTCTGCAAGCCAGAACTGATGTGATATGGTTGAAAGTCATGTGTGTATGTTTGTGTATGCTTGTGTGCTTTGCTGGTTCCAAAAACACCCCCACAGCACAGATGTTGCCTCCTTCAACCCACATGTAAAGGGTGCTGGTGAGTTTTGGCTGCACTTGGCTCAGCACAACACAGTTTGCCAGTATAAATGCAGTGTGGGATTTAGCATTGCTGCCTAGCATAGCTTTGTGTTATCCTGGCATTATAGTAGCTGTGGCCAGGTGTAGGCCTGAAATTGGTAATCATCACGTAGAACCATAAAGTTTCTGTCGTACATACAGTGTAGATTTAAAAATTATGTATGTGTACAGACTGTGATTCTCACACTGTGCAAGAGCAGCCAATTTATTTTCACCTTGATGTAAATTAAAGTAGTTGAGCGCTTTGACTTCAAACCCTGCCAAATTCTGCTGAAAACAAGCAAATGATTTAGTTTGTTTTGTGTAAATGTCTCTCATCCAAACAAGGTAAACATACAGAAGTGTAACTTTTCTGTTTGTGTCCACCTACTAGGTGCGGGTTGGAGGCTTTGAATACTCACCAGGAACTTTGCTGATCTACTCAGACAGCCTGCTCACGCTGCCTGCCATCATCGGTATCGGAGGAGGAGGCGGCCTGCTCCTGTTGGTTATCATTGTGGTGCTGATTGCTTATAAGAGGAAGTCGCGAGACGCTGACCGCACTCTCAAGCGGCTGCAACTGCAGATGGACAACCTAGAGTCCAGGGTGGCCCTCGAGTGCAAGGAAGGTGAGACTGGACAACATCTGGCAATAATGGGACTGGTGCTAGCCGTAGACTTTCATTGTTCTTGTCTTCTCCTAGTCTTCTCCCTGCTTCATACTCTTCATCTTTCTCACTAAGTAACTCCCACATCCCCCACATAACGTTCTGTAAGCCTCTAAAAGCTTCAGTAGTCCTGTCATTTCTCTCTGTTTTCTCTTTCTGTTTCTGCCTCCTTCTCACTGCCAACTGTTCCTCTGCTGTGAGGTGGCAGCTGCTTGCATTTGCGCCCACCTACTATTACTCATGTTATGGGGGCCAAAATCTGTTTACACACTCACATTTTAGGGACTTGCCATGTGGAGACCAGATGCTGGTCCCCAATATGTAACTCAGTGAATTTGAGGGTGACAACTTGGTTTAAGGTTAGGATGAGGTTAAAGGTTAGGTTAATCATTAGGCAGGTGGTGGTTATGGTTAAGGGCAGGTTAGGACTCTAGGAAATGTAGGTCAAGGGATGGGTATGAGGGATGAAAACAAATGTGTGTGTGTGTGTGTGTGTGTATATATATGTGTGTGTGTGGGTGTTGGTGTGCTTCCAGAGGAGTACTTTGATCTGAGCCAGCCACCAGATGTTGACTCTCCACCCCATGAGAGCCGCCTGGCTAACCTCCTCTGCCATCCACACCGAGAGGGAGGCAGAGCAGGTTAGATAGATACAGGGCACAGAGGTGGGAAAGTGAGGGATAGTAAGGAGGGGAGGGGTTTGGCAGTGACTAAATCAGAGATAGAGTGAGACTTGAACACCAGCGCATTAGCATATAGTCATTTGGCTGCAGTCATCATGGATCCAGTGAGAGCCTACGGATGCTGTTACTGGTTTGTCTGGCAAGAGAGAGAGAAGCAGATGGGGAGAAAGAGAAGGAGAATACAAATCATCAGAATACATTTGTTTGAGTTCACTTCACACATTTCACATTAGCAGCTACTAGGATGACACACCCAAGTCGGAACTGTCAGCAGCCAAGGTGCATTGTGGTTAATGTAGGCACCATGCTTTGATGAACAAGAAAAATGCATGTAAAAAGATGATATATCACTGGTCCTGCTACATCAATTTTTATCTTTAATTTTGTTGTGTGAGCTGTGTGCGCTGTACTCCTAGCAACCGCTACCACAGTTTCTTTGTCAGTAATACACTGGCATGATTGATAATTCAAGCCAAATAAATGCAGTCAAATGAAATGGTATTTCAGCCACACATCATTCAAAATCCAAGCCCTGTTATTGTACTACAAGTTAAATATTAAATATTCAAAAGGTTTGACCCATTCTTTTTACACTGTACAGCACATTTGTTTTCTGGAGCCGAAGCTGTGCCAGTCATCTGCTCAGATGATGACCTGGTGTATGTGCTCTTCCTGGAGAGCATGACAAAATAAGTCACTAAGTCCAAAATAAGTGGACACGTCTTCATGTCCACTTATTTTGGAGCTATCTGCAGTAGGACTGCATTATGGTGGGTTGGCTGAAATATTATTCACGATTTTTTTCATTTGGAATTTTTGTGTTATTTTTTGCATGGTATATTTTTTCATATAGCTCACCTAATACCCTCCTTCGCTCCCTGGAATTTTCAGGATGATTTCCTTTCTTGGTATTCAAAACTTCAACAAATAGTATTTTGTGGTGATGTTTTAAGTGGTTGTACAAGTTCATCGTGTTATCATTTGGAGCTGCAAAACACTGCGCGGCCATTCTATGCCTCTGACTGCTGTCATCATCTTAGAAAAATACTGCCACACAAGTGAATGTGACCCTTTCTTTGGTACGAGAACAACATTATTGTTATTGTTCATAATGGACTTAGAAAACATATATTTCATCTTTCCCAGCTTCACTGGAAGGTTTTTCTCAAACCTGACTCATTTCACCATGTCATATACATTGGAATTGTTTTTGAATCGGTCTTCTCTTACTGTGTACAGCTCGTCACATTCCTGTTATTGTTTAACGCAGCTTAGTGAGGAAAAGGGCGTGCTTGGTTTGATGCAGCAGATCTCCCTGCTAATGCAAATGTGGCAAAATCATCATCGGTAAAAATTAGATCATATAGGGCCCTGAATCAAGATTGAAAAACAATTAATCGTGCAGCCCTAATCTGCAGTCTCACACACAAAATATACACACTTGGTCAAATAATGATTGGCTAGGGTTTGTGGTGGAGAGTCCAGGTGATGACAAGAGGATGGATGGAAAGAAGGGGACAGAGCAAGGGAGATAAATAGGCGGGCAACTTGTGAGAGGATGAGGGTGAGTGGTGTGTAGAAGAAGACATGAATGGGAAGATTATGATAGAGCATAAACAGCAGAAAGAGAAAATCTTTTGTATTTAAAAACTGAGGCCGAAAAGAAAGTTGGAAATGAAGTTAGCAGGAGATAAATAGATGAAGATAATGCTAGATAAATATTTGGTTGTGCAAAGGCCAGACAAACAAGAGGGCAACAAGGAGTGAAGGAGGAGGTGATTAGGATGTGTGGGAGAAAGGCAAGGAGATAAATAAGGAACAGATAGTCGGAAGGTGAACTGCACCGCTATTTTTCATGGAAGTCCTGGCGAAGAGGCAAACAGAAACAGTGCAAACAAGTAAAATAGTGACTTTAAGGAAAAAAAGAGGAAAGAAGGTAGAGAAATAAGGACTGATTAGGGAAGCAAAGGAATATGGAGGGAACAAAGTAGCTAATTTGATAGGGAAAAAAAACAAATATAAGGGGATGTAGCAGCAGAGCCAACCTGAGTCTTAAGCGAACTAAGCACCTGCTTAGGTCTCTGTAGCCCTCAGAGGGCCACCAAGAGCACTTGAAATCTCCCACAGGAGAGCCTGTTTATGCATATGTGCACTGTAATGGTTGTTAAGTGCAATATGAAGCAAGCACAGTCTAACGGACTAATGTTACAGGGAAAAATCAGCAAAAAAGGTAATGTTGCAAAAAAAGCACATATCCTGCACTTATTTTATTACTTTTTGGTCCAGCATGTTCAGTATGCCATTAAGTATTTAACACTTAATACTACTCGTGTGAGTTTGCTCTCTTTGACTATTAAAAGCCAATACAAGGGTTAAAACATGCCACATTGACATTGATATGAGGTAAGCAAACAAACAAACTGATAAATGGGTGTTTCAGATTTGCAGTAGTGTGTGAATGATCATGCATTGACAATAGTCAATAGTACTGGTGATAAAGAGGCACTGGAAGGCCTCCAAATCAGATTTTACTTAGGGCCCCATAAAGACTTGGGCCAGCCCTGTGTAGCAGAGGAGAGACAACCGTAGTGTGTAGAGAGAGAAGCAACCTCTAAGATGTCACTTGAAGAGAGTCATAGAAAGACACCAGCCATCTGTTAGTCTGGGCATTTGTTTGGATTGTGTAGCCATGTGTTGGTGCATTTTGGACGACACTATAGGGCACACACACTGTTAAACTATTGGAACAATATAGCGGTATATTTTCTGCTCTAGGGAGTTTTTTATTCAGAAAATAAAACCAAAGCATTCCACCCAAAGCATTAGCTATATGCACTGTTGTAGGTGATATTAACAGGAAAGTGGGTTTGGTCCCACGTGTTCCCTCTAGATGTGACTTGTGTGGCCACTGGAGTATACAGAATGGGGTCGCAACACGCGAAATGGAAATTATGTAAAAACATTGACACATGCACTGACATAAATCATCTGGGCATGAGGTTGTGTGTTCAGCTGTGGGGAAAGACAGGAGAACTGTGTGTTTGTGTGTGGGTGTGTGTTTGTGTGCACGCATGTGTGTGACTTCAGGAGTACAAGCACATGAGATGTCAGCATGTAATGTGTGTGCACTCGCAGGCTCATGTTCTTGTGTGCAATTCCATCTTGAACTCCCCTCCGGCCACTGAGCTCTCCAGAACACTTTCCTCTTTTTCCTCCCTCTCCTTTTCCCTCCATCCTTCTCTGCACTCACAGCACAGAGCCATCACATAATACGGCTTCTTACTTCCAATCCCGCAGACGCC